TCAGCCCTACATCATATGCCTTTGCGCTCTAGATCCTTTATCATCTTTGTAGAAGATAAAATGGCTCGCATGGTTATGATGCTGGGTTGGAGGTTAGCAAGCCTGCGTTCAAGACCCAAGTGATGCTGTGGGGTGGGGTGAGCTCCCGTCCTTCGCACCATCTCCTTCCAGGGACATGAAAAAAGCCTCAAGCCAGGTGTTCCCTAGGCAATGGTGATATCATCGGCTAATCCTTTCAACCTGGAAGCATCATTGACACGAGTGCAACTTGTTCAGCTTTTTCTTCTCTGCACGCTTTCTAAGGTCTCGGCACCTTTTCTGCATTGTGGCAACATTAAACATTAACTGGGTTTCCTAAAAGTAGAGAACATAGAATAATAAGACTTGGAAGGGACTTTGACGGACTTCAGAATGAAATAGCTTTCCTTTTTCTTAGTGTTCTGTAATAGATTGTGGTAAATAGACACTGGCAAGTGGGCATTTTCAGAAATTTGAGTTGACAGAAGAGCTATGTCAAGGGGCCAATGGCTGAAGACCAATATGTCATTCTCAGCCTAATTGTCCCAGAAATGGAGATGCTCAGAACACACTTGTGATTCAGTACTGCAAGCTCTCAAAAATATCTTTGAAAATATCTACAGACGCTTCACATTCTGGACATAAATTGTTCAATTTTTACCCTCAAAACGATGCTATAGGGCCAGAACAACTAGACACAAGGACAGTTGTTTCCTAAATGCAACCACTCTGCTAAACAACTAATTCCCATAACACTGTCAAATTACTTAGTAAGACTGTATTACTATTACTTCTCATCCTTCCTATTACCTATCTCTTCCCACTTATGACTATAACTGTGTTGCTTGTATCTTTACAATTTATATTGTTTTGTTTTCCTAGTATTTATTGCTTATAAATAAGCTATGACTATCACTAAGTGTGTATCATATGATTCTTCATAAATATATTTTATTTTTTCTTTATGTACACTGAGAACATTTGCACCAAAGACAAATTCTTTGTATGTCCAATCACACTTGGCCAATAAAGAATTCTATTCTATTCTATTCTATTCTATTCTATTCTATTCTATTCTATTCTATTCTATTCTATTCTATTCTATTCTATTCTATTCTAATTTCTATTCTATTCAATGCTTCTAATTCTGGTTTCAACCATGCACCATGAAATGATGGCTGTCCCCAATTACCATCATGAAACATCTTTCACCAACCCACATGTCCAAAGCTGTCCTCTGGTCAGGGATATTCAGGAAACACAACCCAAAATGGTTTGTATCCAGTGGAGAAGCATCTAACACATTGCAAGAACTTTTTCCCCCTCACCTTGGAAACATGTTTCATTAGTCTATGAAAATAGGTCAGTGAATTCTCAGAGGAGCATGTGTTTTAAAACCAACTTTACATAAAACAGTAGCACCCAGTGTCCCTAGCAGAGAAAAGATTTATTTTAGACAAGAGAATTATATAAGCAGGGTGCATTTTTATGGAACTGAAAAAAAGCTTTTAAAAATGTATAAAATTATACAAATTCAAGCTTCGCATGGTGTCAGAAGAGATTATGAAAGTTGCAGTCCTGAAAAACCAGCCAGAATAAAGAGTTGTAAAATTCAAGCCAAGTTAAACACCCTGCTAATTTTCAAGGGACACTCAAACATGCATTTTTGTAGTGGTGCGCAAATACTCAACATGGAGATTTACACAAAAATAGAACACAGAATAATAGAGTTGGAAGGGACATTGGAGGCCTTCTAGTCCAACCCCTTGCTCAAGCAGGAGATGTTATACCATTTCAGAGAAATGGTTGTCCAATCTCTACTTAATCAAACGTCCAATGTTGGAGTATTCATAACTTCTGAAGGCAAGCTGTTGCGCTGATTGATTGCTCTGTCAGCAAATTTCTCCTTAGTTCTAAGTTGCTTCTCTCCTTGATTAGTTTCCATCCATTGCTTCTTGTCCTGCCTTCAGGTGCTTTGGTAAACAAGTTGGCCTCCTCTTCCTTGTGGCAGCTCTTCAAGTATTGAAACACTGCTACCATGTCACCCCTGGTCCTTCTTTTCACTAGACTACATATACCCAGTTCCTGCAATTATTCTTTGTATGTTTCATGCATTCTCATCTTGAATTACTATTAAGGTTGTAATGATAACCAGGATCACCCTTCGCTGAATTGGAGAAATCAGAATGTTGGATACAAAAGATATTAGTGTATCACAAATTCATTCAGAATCGTTGATGCTTGTTAAAATTTAGGGATGAATGTACAAACAGTTCTGGTGTTGATGTGAGAGAGATGTTTGTACTTTTCATTAGATTAGCTATACCCAATTCCTGCAACCATTCTTTGTATGATTTAGCCTCCAGCCCCCTAATCATTATTGTTACTCTTCTTTGCACTCTATCCAGAGTCTCAACATCTGTTTTTATATTATGGTGTCCAGAACTGTAGTATTCTACGTGTGGTCTTACTAAGGCTTTTTAAAACCTTATAGTTGATTTGATAGTCTCTGGTGATCAAATTAAATTGGAAAGGCAAGGTAAATTGTTGAATCAAATGCCTCCAAATCAGGACCAGACCCAGATTTAACAGACTACATCTAATAATAAATGTAACTCAGTTTTCTAAATTGAATTGGAAACCTGAACCAATTTGAAAATTTGAGTCCAATTGTAACTATTCAGCTTTAATGCTTAGACATTTTCTTAAAGTATTCAAAATATTTCATGTCCACTGTAATTCTCTAAATACCTATATGGAAATAGGTCTAGTTAATAAGATTTTCTCCAAAGTAAGTGTACATAGGATTAGAACATTTGGCTAAATGACGTACTGTGAAATTATTCTCATAATCCCTGAAATACATAATTGACTACATTGTCCCAAAGCTGCATTTTAGAGGAATACAAACTGAAAATAATGACGAACCCTCTAAGGTATGAAGGCTATGGCCATCAATTCCCATGACAATCACAGATTAGTTTCCTAGGAGGAAAAGCGCAGGTTCCATAAAACAAACACTTGACTGTATTCTTCACATTTTCAGAAAACAAAACTTTTGTCTGGTACATGCCAGAGCATTGTCTTCTAAGTTGGATCTGCCCTCCATCTTTGGACCTGCAAGCCCTGAAAATTTCCAGCCTAGGGGCTTTGAACACAATTGGAAGATGCCTCATTGTTGAGCTACAAACCCCACTTGGCTACCTTCTCCAAAGCTCTTGGAGAAGCTAGTTCAGTAAGACCTGAAGGGCCACAGAAAATTAAACTGTTTAATTTACAATAGACTGGGAAGGATGACACTTGGCTTCCATACCTGAAAGCCTTCCTGTCTTTATGGGTAATTCAGCTTTCACAGAAGCAGTAAATATGAGATTACACGAACTGTTGAAGGCATCCTGCATGGTTCCAAGTTCCAAAGATGTGTTGTAGACCCTTTTTCAGGTGGAGCTAATGTCCAATAAGTCTAAGTTCTCCAACTATCCACACTATACAAACAAGGCATTCCGTTGTTTTTTCCTGTCAGTGCATTTGCATGATTAAATGCATCCAATTGTTCCTTTATGTTTAGGACAGGGGTTGGCAACCTTAAACACTCAAAGAGCCATGTGGATCAGTTTCCCACAGAAAACACCGGGAGCCACAAAAACCCTTCCCGTGCCTGACTATTTCCTGAGTGGCCACAAAACTAGCCTATGTAGTTGAATTAAACATTCTGTTTTCTTCTGTAACTTTTCTTTTCTTGGATTTATCCATGGTTGGCCTACTGGGGGTAAAAAAGCCCAATAAATTGTGTGTCGCACATTGGCAATTGTGATGCATATTTTAAGAGACAGGGAGCCGCAGCAGCATGATGAAAAAGCGACATGCGGCTCCAGAGCAACGGGTTGCTGACCCCTGATTTATGAAAACTAATTGCTACCATAGAGAGGGAGGGAAATAGAATGTACTTTAGAGCAACTTGTGAACTATTGTTTTGAGAAATATACTTCACCCTATTTAGCCATGTCCATCACTGAAAGTTATTCTGTATCAGGTGTCACCACTTCCTGCAATGTTAGCGATGCTGTAGGACAACAAGTTTAAGACTTGTGGACTTCAATTCCCAGAATTCTTGAGCAAACATGACTGGAGGAGGAATTCTGGGAGTTAACAGATAACAGATAATCAGAGTTGGAAAGGACCTTAGAAAACAAGTCCAACCCCCTGCCCAAGTGGGAGACTGTTAGGAATATGAGCCACCTAACAGTTATTTGGGTTGGAAAATATATAAACCAGTATAGACATTTTAATACTGTCTCTTTAAGGGAATGCTAAAAATGTAATTGGGTGTGGTTTCTCAAACGGCCATACGATGGAGCCAGAAACCTGGATTGTTTAATCTTAGTCTCAGAAGAGTGTGTGTCTCAGTGAGTCTCTGTTTCCTTCTGTTGGAGAGTTTTGCCGTTCCTCCATTTTTCCTAACTGACTGCTATTCTTGGATGTGATGTAAGTCTGTTACTGAACTGTTTTTGATACTGGAATTTGATATTTGGATTATCCCTGGACTGAAAATTGACTGCCTTACCTGTGAATGACTTTGGACTGTGTTTGAACTTTGCTCAAATGTTTAGGGAAGTAAAAACCTACATTTACTGTACAGTGTATCTGTGTGCTGTGTGTGTATTATTCAAACACTTCTCTCACTACGTCTCCCTGTATGCGCTCATTCTCCTAACGGGGAATTACCTCAACAGAGACCCTACACCATTTTTGACAAATGGCAGTCCAATCTCTTCTTGAAAGTCTCAACTGAGTCTCAACCAAAGGCAAGCTGAGTTGAAGTCCACAAGTCTTAAAGCTGTCAAGTTTGAAGACCCCTGCTGTAGGACAACACATTCCCTTGTCCAAACTTCTGTAAATAACAAGACCAATGTTACAAAAGTCTAAAATAAAGAAAAAACTTGACAATGCAGCCTTGACACCAGTGAATGAAAAGAACAACATTTGTTTCTGGTTTTTTTTATATATAAATCCATTTACGTAAAGGTTTTCCATTGGATGAAAACTCCTTTTGAAGCAAAGCCAGTGTCCCCTCCAGATCTCGTAGCATCTCAAATGGATGCATTGGATCTGTTCCACAGGGGGAAAATGTCCATCTTCTGTACTCATGAGGTCCAACTAAAGGACTAAAGAAGAGCAGGAATCCTTCACCCATCCATCCATGCAAGTCTACAAACATGGCTTCTGTTGTAAAAACTCACAAACAATATACTTGTCAACATGCACAACATTCCCTGAACGTGTTTCCAGCATCAATGTTTCCAGGCCTTTGTCTCCCATTTCCCCACCCTTCAGGTATAATTATTTGGCATCGTGTGACTTCTTTTTTTTCTTCTTCTTCTTCTAGTCACTGATCTACATTTGGAATGTACATTCTAAGTTCGAAATACTGTAAAGAAAAAAAAAGGAAGGAGGAAAACAGAAAACAGAGACAGTGGTCTTGATGCGGACATCACTAAGAGGAGGTTGGTGTTGCATGCCCTGCTCTTCACCCATCAGCATGCAGAAGAAGGCTGGAGGTGAATATGTCTCCTTCAAACAAAACAATGTCGAAAAAACAATTCACAAAAATTAAAGCAGGAGGCCATTTGGCATTTTAACCAAAGGCATATAGAGGCTTTATGTCCTAGATACATTCCATGTTTTCTAAGTCTCAGAGTTCCTTTTGTTTCCCTTCACAATCTTGGTACAAAGAATGAAGATCGATTGGTCTTCGCTGTTTTTAGTTTTTATCTTGGGAAATAAAAGCCGGACTTCACTGCATCAATATCAGAAATCAGTGTCTTAGCCAGGAAAATCCCAAATATCTAATGAAAACAGGGGAGAGAATGAGAGTGAGAGTGAGAGTGAGAGTGAGAGTGAGAGTGAGAGAGAGAGAGAGAGAGAGAGAGAGAGAGAGAAATCCAATTTATAATAAATAACTGATTTCACAGATTTCACCTAATAACAATAGTAACCAATATTATCTCGTTGGCTCTTTCATGTCTACAAGGCACAAATGACCAGGCTAAAATTATATACTACCTTGGAGACATTAGGCAAAGACCTAGTTCTCTGGAGAAGGCGCTGGTGCTTGGAAAGATGGAAGGAGGAAGAGGAACAGGAAAGAGGAGGAGGAGGAGGGGGG